AATATGTGGCGTGGACGACAGAAAATTTTAAAATTGACATCTCGAGCTACTAGTTAACATAAATATTCACGTGATATCAAAAAGTTGCTGTATGTATCGCATGTATATTTGCCCCATAAAAATTTCAAGGAACATTTCCACATTTTTATAAAAGAAAGCAGGAATCCACAGATATATGAAAAGTTTGCAGAAAGATTTCTATATATGCGTCACCATGTTTACTGCTAGCACGTGGTAAAACAAAGCAGCACGCATTTATATGAAATTTATCCCATGTAAATGTCCAAAATATATAATTGGGATATCCTAAAGATATTACAACATCTCTAGGATATCCCCATGATATATTTTAAACATTTCTGCTGTGTGAAATACATACAAAAAATATAAAAAATGTAATATAATCGTATTAGTGATGACTGTTTCTACATTATCGACATTTTTGGAGTTTGCCATCGACTCTAACATCCCCTTAACACGTTCGGCCACGAGGTTTTCGAAGAAGCTTACTATTGTGCCAGTTTTTTTTTTTTGCTTAATTAATTTCTCACATTAAAGCTCTTGCTTGCTCACTGTGGCCATTTTGATTTATGACATCAGAAGCGAGAAATAAGGTGACCAGATTTTCCAACTCAGAATTCGAGACACTTCATAAATGTATGATAAAAAGATCCGAAAATTATTTGACAATCATTAAAAATGATGACAAATCGGTGCACCCGAATAGCACACGAAAAAATTCGAGACAAAGGGTGAAAAATTGGGACGTTTAGTCATCTTAGCTGTATGTGTCGAGAAGGGAAATTATTCCGTAATAATGTACTTACGATATGTCCTGACGACCGCACGTCATTATTTTCGGCACTCTAATACTTATTTCCGCAGGAGACTCGCAGGACACAAGCGAAAGAATACGGAATACGGAGCGTTGTATCCATGGCAGTTGCTCGGCATGAAAAGATCGCAGACGCGCGCGCTATTAATCACGTACACCAAAAGTTCATTAGCGCGCCAAAAGTGCCGAAAGTGCATGAATGTGAACGCGCCAGTGATGCGAACGAAGTCGCGCGTCTACAACGACGCGATCTGTACGGCGGATGCCTTAACCATTTGCTCGAGTTACTAACCACTCTAGACCAATCGCGTTCGTTTCGTACTACGAAGTTGTCATCGTGGTTATTCAATCTAGGCGTTGGTAATGAATCGCGCCAAGCAACAGTCATGAGCACATACCGATCCACATCGCTCCGCGTTTCTCGTATCTTTTATCTGTCGAAAGTGAGTGTCGTACGTTAATAAGTCTCAGAAGTATCGAAAATAGCGATGTGCGATCGCCGGGGCGTATCGTGAAGACGTCATTTGTGAGTAATCTTCTCGTTTCTCCTCGCGGTATACGTAAGATGACCAGATTTCCCAGCCTTGAATTCAGGACACTTCATAAATGTGTGAAGCGGGGGGAGGGGGGTAAAAAGATCCGAAAATTATTTGACAATCATTGAAAATGATGACAAATCGATGTCTCGAATAACACTCGAAAAAATTCGGGACAAAGGGTAAAAAATCGAAACGTCTGGTCATCTTACGAGAAAATGCACGAGAAAATGCAAAATTCTTGCAAAATACGTCGAAGTGAAATGACATGTTCACAAAATGACACTTGCAGTCAATCAAGCAAATCTGCGAAATAGTTGGGCTTTCCTTTTGTTCTAACAATCAATAAATAGCCGTAAAATTAACGCTATAAAATCATAAGAAATTCAGGTTAAAAAAGTAGCTTGTATTTTACATTAGTTTTATAATTTATTAATTGTTAGAGCGAAAGGAAAGTGTTTGAGCTATTTTACAGATATATTTAATCTATTGCAAGTGTCATTTTATGGGCATATTTTTGTATTTCAACCTATTTTGCAAAGATTTTGGCCATGCATTTTCTCGTTTCTGACATCATCAAGTGAGTCATCGAGAGTTCCGCGGTGAGGGACCAGGAGTCTTAAGAAAACAATGTTTAGTACTAGTGTTATAGTAATTATTCACTTTAGGGGAGTCAGCTCCAATGACCTTGACATATGTGTTACTAATTCCCAAAAGTAGATTTGAAATTACACTTATATAATATTGTCGTTTACAGAAATATTAATCACATAAAAAAATGATTTGGTTGATTCAACAAATCTATAGAGCTTGCTAAGCAAAGTGTTATAACTAAGCAGATTTGTTGGTATTGGAGAGAAATTATTGAAGAAAAGCAATTGTTAATCTGCTCATAGAGCGAACCCATTTTTGTTGATATTATCTTAATTATTACAATAAACCGTATTTCGAGTTAATTGAGATTTGCAAAATAGATTAATTTTATTAAATAAATTGTGCGCTTATTCAATAAAGAACTTATTCAATGCAGAAATATTTTTGTTCGTTTTACGGAGAAATGCATCCCCATTAAGTCCAAATACAAATATCTATAATGAGAAATATATTATTATATATTATGCAATTTAAGTTTCCCTTTTTATATTAATAATTGTGTGCATATATGATATCATATGTTGAAATAAATTATATGTATCTTTATATATATGCACATTTACATTTATAATATTTTGCTAAATTGTTTGAATAGTTGCAAAGTAAATATTCTAGACATTTCAATGAGCATTTTTGCTGTAGCTAACTTCTAATGCTGAAGCAACTAATAGTTTGATTATAATGAAATTCGTTAATGTACCAAATTTCCTTTCATGCAACAGTAAAATGATTAGTTGTAATATACCAAACTTTACTTCTCCATTAGTTGTAATGGAGAATCATCTTTGCTGTGCTAACAAATCTGCCCTGCTGTAACATCAAACTTTATTATTAGGTACACGGAGAGAATTTTATAATAAAAATTGCTTTACGATTTTGTAGCCAAGAAATAAATCGACATTCTGTAGTAATTCACTCTAACTTTTCATTTCATGAAAGTGCTACTTATTATATTTGAGGAACATGAATATACTATTAAAATATTTGCTGTTTTTAGCGGAAACCGTGATGTTTCTAGCGAAATTTACTTTGTTCCTTAGCACGACCTATTGATCTTACTGACAGTCTACTTCAAAACTATTGGAAACATAGCAAAATTAAAAAAAATATAAAACAATAAATACACACAGTAAACATAAAACATAGTAAACATAAAACATAGTAAACAAAATGAAACATAGTAAAATTTAAAATAAAAAAAGAATTTATAAGAATAAAAACTACAATATTCTCTCCGTGACCATACAAATCTTATGTAGTTCTGTGACTTAATTACTGTAACATAGCGAACTGGCTTCCCGAATATCACGGCTATAGATTTGTTAAGCCACCGTGTAGTTTCCAGTTGCACAGCAAATCTTTTTAGCCGTGACACATTACGTAATACACGGCAGTCAATGTGTCAAAAGCGATCGCTTTGAACTCTAGATGGCCAATGCCAGCACACTGACATTAATACTAATCACCCCCGTTATTGCCAATGCCGAGTCATTCTGACTCCCTTAATTGTTTTCCGCTTGTAACCTGCCCTGCACGTTTTCAATCATGTTTTGCAGAACGAAAATAAATACCAATTACAAACATTGTTTTTATGAAATCACTCAGAGTCAAAATCACGTACATTGGCAATCCTGGGTTAAGTGGCGCGACGGACACCTCGTTTGCGCATTCATTCGTTCACTGGATCGTTCGCGTCCGCGAATATTCGAATACCCAACGTTAACGGCGCGCTGCGACAAAAATATTTCGACGCGTGCTGCACGCGTTTAATAAATGACCAGTGTCTGAAAAATTAATCAAACATTGTCGCGCGGACACTCTGATCACACCCATTCACGGTGAACCTGAATAACACAGTCGACGTTCACGCAAAAATGCGAATTATTATCTTCCCGCGCGAAAAGAGGCGTGTAAGACAAATAGCCCTAATTCAGACATCCCGTCCCTCGATGTTATTCTTCGCCCCTGCCCCTCCACCCGAGCGAGCCGCACCTGCGGCCAACTCTTTCGTTCGAGGGTGACATAGTGCGTCATAGGAGGCAAGAAAGCACGGAGCTCTATTTGGGAATAAAATGTGGATAATGAGAATTTGTGTTACTGCGGCGGGAGAGAGAGAGAGAGAAAGAGAGAGGAAGAGGGAAGGGAAATTGTCGGAGAAGAGCAGCGGAGCGATATCGATTCCCGCGTGGTCGGAATGCATATATTCAATAAAGGTTCTCACCTTCTTTGTTGGCGCTGCTCTTGATCTCCGTCGCCTTCGGTGCTGCCGATGGCTTCGGGATGGCTGAAATAAAAATCGCTCGTCTTTAATGACGTCGTATAACTCCTTAAATATCGGCCGATAAATTCGACTCTCCGGCGTCTTATTCATATTTCAGCCGAGGTCATCTTATCTCTTGCCGGAGAACGGTCCGGGGGTTTATAACGGCGCGGGTTACGTTAACGCGGCGGACGTTTCCACACGGCGATTTAACCGTGCCGATTTACTGCTAACACGTCCACTCCGTCTTAAATAAATCTTCGACTCCGGCGAAATTAAACAAAGGCGCGGAAGAGATTCGCGATTTATGCGCGCGCGCGCGCGAGGAAGTCGTTTCACTTTTAAATTATTCACGTCGCGAACTCCGCCGACTCCGCGCCGTGATATCCCGTATACGAGATGTCCCAGACTCTCCCCCCGCAATTTTTGTGAGAACGTAAAACGGATTGAGGTGAACATAAAAGTTCCATACCGTTTTGCGATAAACGTTCGCAATAAATCTCGAGATATTAATTAAAGAAGATGGACGAATGATCACGCGCGACATGATAAATGAGCTATAGTAGCGCGCGTCGTCTGCATATACTTATATATTAGATTAAACTAAACAAAAAAGTCCTCTACCATTTTGTAAATGACTATATTGATTTTTAGATAGTAATTAAGGAAAATTTGTACATTATCATGCACAATTAGGTAATTTTCTTTCATCAATTCACAGTTTTTTTTCATCAACAACTAAAAATTTACGTAGTTATTTGCAAAATGATAAAGGACTTTTTTATTCCATTTGACTTAATATACAAGCACACAACAGCACACATCGCCACTACAGCTCATTCACCATACCTTGCGTGATCATTCACCAATCTCCTTTAATCTATATCTCAACTATTATTGCGAATATCACAAAATGGTATAAGATTTTATGTTCATCTCAATCCGTTCTCACAAAAATTGCGAAGGAGAGTCTGGGACACCCTGTATAGCGAGCGCCATTTGCGTAGATAAACGCACAGAGATAACGCTTAGTAGCAAAAAAAAGAGAAAGAGGGAGAGAGGAAAAAGAAAAATAAAGATTTGTCCGTCTGGACACATGAACGCGCGTGCACGCGGGGGTAGAAAGTGCACATCGGCTTACGGTATAATCTGATGGATCCCTCAGTCTCGCCCAGCGAGTTTTTGCTAATGCACCGGTAGCTACCGAAGTCACTCGTCGTCAGATTCCTGACGATGAGCCTCATGTGCGCCCGGTAACTGTTCTCCATGATACTCGTGGTGTATTTCTCGTTGGAGAGTATCATCTCCTCGCCCAAAAACCAGTAGCTCATGGCGCGGGGGTAGGCTTCCGTGTGACAGTCGATGGTCGCATCGGTCCCGATAGGCGCGCCGACCAGCTGATTAGGCACGAAGATCATTGGGGAAACTGAAACATCGATAGGCGCGAGTTTGTTATTGTTATGATTCTGTTATGTTTTATATTTAGGGTTTATTATTGTTGTACTTCTGTTATGTCTTATGTTAATGTCATGTATTAGGACCTTAACTTAGTTTCCGCCCGCAAATGTTAGATGGCAATGCAAACAGTTCTAGTAGTTATTACTAACGAAACAGGTAGTTTGTGATTAATTTCGACATTTCTCGATAACATTTAGTCAGCATACACAATTATTTTCCTAAACAACAATTTCTTTTGCTTTGTGAAAAATGGAACGTGATAAAGTGTTTTTTCGACATGTGCTTTTGCACTATTTTGATTTGAAAAAAAGTGTAGCAGAAGTTCATCGATTACTTGAAGAAGGTTATGGTGATCGAGCTCCATCACATACAACATGTAAAGAGTGGTATAGACGATTCAAAAGTAATGATTTTGATGTCAATGACAAACCACGCTCAGGACAGCCAAAAAAATTCCAAGACGATGAATTG